TCTAAAATCAGCCATTGTACCTAAGCATCCCTTTGATGGGAGAATTTTAGTGTTGTCTTCAGCATGAAAGCTGATTTTCTTTGCCTCAGGTATCAACAGCAAGTGCCAGCCTTTTGACTCCAGGATGTATTTGTTCCCGTTACTGATGGATGTGTTCCTCATGTCCTGCTCAGGGAGACAGATATTTGCATTTTAGCCAGTCACTGTCTTACAGCCAGATGAAACAGAGTGATCTTGCAAACTTTGGGCTGACCAAAGGGGTTCTGGGTGCTGTGGGACCAAACATGGAGCTCAAGGATTTGTCTATTCATCCTCTTGCACCAGATAAGAAGCAGGTAAATCACCCAGGTTGTAGCTTCATCTGCTTCGTAGCAGGGACATTGGGTAGCCCCTGAAACTCTGCCGGGTTGTCTTTAAACGTAGAATTTCTGATCTTCACAGTGAACAAGCCCTCCTGACAGTGACAGAGCATTGACACAGGTTACCCAGAGAGGTTATGGAGTCTCTATCATTGGAGATGTCCAAAAGCTGCCTAAACATGGTCCTGGGCAACTTGCTGTGGGTGTCTGTCCCTGCTTGAGCAGAGGCTGGACCATAGATGGCCTCCAGAGAGCCCTTCTAACCTCATCTGTTGTACAGGTCTGTATTAATGCTTACAACAGGTTTATGAAGAGCCCAAATCCAGCGCTCCTGTTAATTGCTCCTAAGAAAATAACAGTAGGTAACCAAAAATCTACAGGTGACAAACCTTAACATTGGTAAGAGTGCATAAGAAATCTGTGAAAATTGCTGTCTGGATCTGTTGGTACCACCGACGTTGTAGAATCTTAAGTAGATGTCTGTACTTGTAAGAGGCAGATGGATGAAAATATCCACCTAGGTCTGGCATAGGATTTAAAAATGGAAGGAACAAATGTCTTCAGGTGTCAGCATGTAAACTGTTCCATAAACAGTGTCTTTGGAGCATCATTTGGTTGATGAATGTAGTTCAGTAATTGGCTATCTAGATTTACTTTTAAATATATGTCATTACAGAGTTATTTCACTTATGTTTTATGGTTGTGTCTGAAATTTTGCAAAAAAATTGGAAACTTCTGAAATTGTACAGTTGCAGAATCAATCGTTCTCTCCCAAAAAAACAGTATAAAGAGGTTTGTGATGGTCTTACAAGGAATAGGAGAGTCAGGAAAGGCCATAGCCAAGTATGGATATCTCATTAAAATGTATGGATTAAAAGGTGGTCCTCTTTTGAAGTTTCAGTGGATTGCAGGATGTGTATAGCTTGCAATTAATTCTTCTACTCTGCAGCAGATTCTTCTGAATGCTGTTGTTGCATGCAGTTGCATATGTAGGTTGATCTGGCAAATAGCTTGCTCAGGATCTTCTTCATTCCCGTCCCTTTGTGGTTAGCAATGTCTAATAATGAGAGTGTCAAAAGACAGTGCTTCTAATGCTTTGTGAGTAGATTTAATGTTCACTTTAGTAAACCTTCAATTTAATTTTGGAAAATTGACATCTTAGGTAAGTAACTTTGATTTCTCCGAACCACCACCATCCCTATGTTTCGTACATGTTTCAGAATAAAAGACCTGGCATCTGGGAACCTGCTTTAGCAGGGGGTTGGACTAGATGATCTCCAGAGCTCCCTTCCCACCTCTACAGTTCTGTCATGCTGGATTGAAAGCTGAGAAAGTTCAGGCCCTACTGACAGGGTCTGAACCCCATGTGTTATATCCTTGAGGAAAAAAGTTTGCAACAACCATAAATTCTGTCCCTGCGTTAGCAGGTTTTGCACACAGAATGGCTGTAAGGCATCTTGCAGAAGGACAGTTAGAGGCAATCAGCCTTCCCCTGTGCAGAAGATCATACTGTACTGAAGATGCTCAGTGCATGTTCTCTAGGAATTATTTCTTATTCCAGTGTGGGGATTTACACAAACCTGATTCACTTTTTCAATTTGGAATTAATAGAAAAATCATTTGCATCCCTTAAAAAGAGGAGTCCAACATGCATCCAGAGGAGCTGGAATAAGTGGCAACAAAGCTGACAATCTGATATGAATAGCTTCTGATTGAGCAGCACACAGTATCTTCCAATAACTTTAGCATCTTTATTAAATTAATTATTCATATTTTCTCATTCCTATCTGAAGCCTAATGTGCATAGCTGTGGTATTATTTGAACACAGTGAGACAGCGTGGCACGACAGACAAACTAAGAATGACATTCCAGCAAAGGAAGGAGAGTTAACTAGAGATGACACAGTGGGATTTTTAGATCGCCAAGCAGAGATCATTTCTGATTTAGTAGCAATTCTTTCAGACAAAGACAAGATAGTTAAACTCAATCATCCTACCACAGTTGTTTACTAAATTGAATTTCCTGCCTTGTTTGCTACTCATTGAGTTAGTGAATCTCAACACGGAAGAGTTGCCAGAGGGTTTTAAAAAATCCATGATGGACCTTTGAGAAGTAAGTTTGCACGTGTGAAGTACGTTACAAATAGCAATAACAAATAACAAATAGCAATAGGAACAGTGGTGCTTGATTATTCTGTGCACATGGAATTTGTTTTATTTCAGTATCTTGTAACCTGTGTGGCTTTGGCAGATTATGTGCTAGCTACTTATCATGATAGATTTAGGTACAAGTTGTTATGAAACCATCAAGAAAGGGTATTGATACAGTGTTCACATGATGAATGCTCTTCACTATTTTGATGTTGTCTTATTTCCCATCTGGATTTTGAATTCTTTTGCTTTCAATTGCTCCATCTTGTTATGCAGTTTTGGCAAGACTGAAGAGCCTTGTCTTTGAGGTTACTTCCCTATTTGCATTTATAAATCAGAGTCAGTTCTCCTCTTCAATAAATTAATTGAACTGATCACTTTCTTATCTCTATGTAATGGTTGCATGTGCATATATTAAATGATCTTGTTTACCTTCTCACTCAGAATATCATGAACAGGAACTCATACTATAATGCACTCTAGAAATGCATGCTAGAAACTGTCGTACCAGGTAGTGATCGTCCATTTACAGAGATTTTTACTATCTACTCCCCAGTCAGTTCTCAATTGGTTTGTTAAGCAATAAATAGATCTGTAGAATGCCAACGCTTAAGTACAAACATAAATCACCATTAACATATCCTGGCAAAACTAATGCTTAGCTGCCCTGGATTCATTTTACGCCAAACTATTCCTTAGCACTGGCTTTGTAGTCACTCTCTACCATCCTAGAATAACTTGTAAATAAACAAGGAAAATATTATGTGCCCTGCAGAGCTTGCTATTAAGTAATGATGAAGAACGTTGTTGTTGTTATTATGTGTAGCAATGTAACATTTTAGTGCTTAAAGCCTAACCCAAACAATGTGAAAACTCCATAGGATTTTTCAGAATCAATTTCACTCGTAAGTGTTGTTGGTTATTGAATGGGCTTTTAGTTCAAATGAATCTTTTAGGATATTTCTGTGTCTCATTTTCTCTGTAGTCCTGACATGTTGATGCTGATCTTCAGAGGGACTTCTGCAGTGTAGGACAGTCCAGAGATGAGTCCTAATGATTTCCACTTTGTCTTGAGCTGTAGACATTTGGACATTTGGGAATAATCAGCTTTTTTGAGTCTGCTTCAGAGATGGGTTTTTCACTCACTCAAGTTCAATAAATAAGTTTTGTTACATCAAAAGCAAAAGCTTTTTTGTTTCTTTGTTTGCTTGTTTGTTTGTTTTCCAAACGCATGATAGGAACAAGGTTATGAAAGACTGAAACTGCAAAACTGCAGTTCTAGATCAGCTTTCATGCTTGATGCTAAAGCATTTATGGAACGATCCATAGCAAAACTGGCTTCCAGAATTTCTGCCTGAGGGGATGGGAGTGGACAGTGATGGAAGGCAGCAAAGCCTTTGTCCACTGAAGCTCCCTATGACTGCATCATGCCAAGCTGTGTCAGGGCAGCTGCTTAAGGGAATAGGACCCTTTATTTTATAGTTTTGTAGGTAGAGTCTAGCTCTGAATTTGGAAATATGTGCATGAGCAAATTCATGCAACTGGGTTTTTGAAATGAATGCATCAGCAGTAAATGGGCTAATCCTTGTACCAAAGTTATGTATTTATGGTGTTGTTTTTGGGACTTAGTGAGCATGTAAAATTAGGTTTTTTATTCTTAATGTTAAATATAAAAAGTATTACATACTTCTGCCATCCATATTATCAAATTTGGGTTGCAAATAGAATTTAGTAGAGAGCTCATATATACCGTTATTTTCTACTTCTGCCAGACACCAGAAAGCTTTAAGGGTTGCTGTTCCTAAGCGTTGCTCACTCTAAAATCCATACCTTCTCCCAACTTTCTTAGCACGTTCCTCTACCAAAGTCCTTTTTGGAGTTCAGACTTCACAAGAATCCTTTCTTCTCTTTATAAGTAACGGTGGTGATGGTGTGAATTAATAACTTTGCTCCAAACTTGGTTAAGCAGTATGTGCATGCTAGTTTTTATCAGAGTTTCAGGTATCAGGGTTATCAGGTGATGGTTTATGAATAGAAGAGAATGGGTAGTTATCTCCATGGATATTTCTCTCATTAAGATGTAATCCTCCAGCACAAGAAAATGTTTAAGCACTTGATAAAATCCAAGTTTTATTTATAGCGTTTGCATGGTTCAAAGCAAATATTTTAGAAGTATCTTGATTACAGTAACTGCAGCTTGATTATTTGAGGCTTTACATCTGTATTTGACTACTGTGTGATTTACCAAAATGTAAAATATTCACATTTCATTTGCACATCATTTCAAAGGAAGCATTAGAATTGAATCTCCTCTGGACTATTCAACTAAAGAAACACTTGGTCTTTCTAAAAACACCTATGGAATATGCACATGAGAGACAGTTCTAACCCAGGAGAATGGAAAGTCCTAAATTTGAGTCTGCTAGGCTTACATGTTGCAACTCATTCACTTACAAGCAGGATCCTCATGGAGTGATTTTCTTTCTCCAGGAATGCGGCAAGGTAATGACATTGGCACTCAGTATCGTTCAGCCATCTACACCTTTTCCCAAGAACAGATGGAAGCTGCCTTGAAATCTAAGGAAGAATATCAAAAGGTAATGTTGGGCAGAGTGTGGCAGTGCTTCCCATGTTGATCAGAGGTCAAGGAAATTTCTCACAGCACCCCATCGCTGCTCGTGCTGCATGCTTTCTCTGTGTTGATGTTGGAGGTCCTCACTCTAATACTGAAGTTGAATCTTATTTGCTCTGAATTCCAGTTGTTACGAAGAAGCTTGTTTGTGTGCGTGACAACTTGATGCAAAAATAAAGTATTTAGTTACTTGTACAGAGACAATTTAATGTCTTTCAGAGACTTTTTTCATGTGGGCTCCTCAGAGCAAAGCTTGGTGTCCTCAAAGCTACTGAAGTGCATCTGGGCCCCATACTCTGATAGGTGAAGCCAGTGTCTCAGACCCCAAAGTTCTTGAACTCTGGGGAAAAGTCCTCCTCAGCATGTCAACTTGGGATCTTAAGATTTCCTACCTGCTGGTTCTGAGATGCTTTTATTCCCCGAATTCCTTTGTTTAAATGTGGCATTCAGTGACTTCAGAAGGCCGTTTGTTTCGATGCGTGAGAGAAGGATGATTATTTGATTTACCTTTCCTGTACACAGTCTTGTTTTTCAGTGAAGATGAATTCTGTCTATCCCCTGCCATGCAAGCTATTATAGGCCTGGGTTTAATGAAAGACAGAGAGATTACTGTGTCCTTTAGTGTTGCTGCATTGTAATTTCTGTCTGATCTGTCTAGTGGTCCTGCAAGGCAACATCCAGTGTCTGCTGCAAAAAAATATGACTTCATGTAACTTACAGGAAATAAATTATTCACCTAGGGCATCAGTGCAACAGATAAACTATTAAATGGTACTGTGAGCTTTCATGCATTCACTTGTGCTACAATTCCACGTAAGCATTATTAAAGATTTGGGGATTTGGTGAATATCTAATGTTAAAACAAAGAAATCTGTTCTGAAGAGTTATGCTGTCTCAATCAGAGGCAGGCACCAAGGCATGGAAGGATATGCATGTGGTTTTTATAAGCATATGCATGACGTTGGTTGATCATTGAGCTTGATCTGTGTTTGCAGGACTGTTGGCATTATTTTGTCTGTGAAGGGATGAACTACAGATAACTAAGCTGCAATTTGTTCCTAGCAATGGGATAGCTCTGCATATAAATCAAATATTCAATGGTGTATATGTTTTCTTGTGAGTAGCTGAATGCATGGGGACAATCAGTCTTTCAGGTGTGCATCTATTAGCAGAGCAGTTTCTGAAGGCTTGGTATTCATATTTATCATGCTGAACTTCTTTCTACTCACTGGTTACCTGAGATCCATCACTTTTCCAAATTGTTTTTTGTTCCCATTTATTAACATCTGCTGACCACTGTCTCACTCTAAATCTTCCAGCTTTCAGTTTGCTTTCCCAAATCTATTATTCTCTGCAGTTATTTGTCATTAAATTAATACTGACTTGAAAGCAAAATTACAATGCAGGAGATTGCAATATGATATTACAGAATTTTCCATCATCAAATAGATTTTCTTAATAGCACAATATAAAATTTACCTACTTTGAAGTCTCTCACCATTTCAAAAGTCTGTATAATTAGTGCATTTATGTAATTAGGCGCAACTCTGTAAGTGGTCACATGTAGAGCTCATTTTTGCACTAATGGAGAAGGAAGGAAGGGACTGTATTGCCAGCAAAGGAACCAGAGCAAATATGTACTGAAATTCCTAGAGGAAATACAGTTTCTACATAGTATTTTCTCGTGTTATCAACAACAATATCTACAGTGTTATCTACTGTGGGATTGCAGCAGCAGTAAAATGGTTGAATTGGAAACACACTGAGCAAACAATATGTTCAGGAATCCCTTTTCATATTAAATGCCTTGCATTACATTACTTTAAGGAAATGCAATTTCCTTATTATTGCACTAATTTAAAGCAAATGCCAAATTCTTCTGGCAGGTGTACATTTCTTTACACCCGATAATGGCAGATTAAAAAAAAGTAAGGATGGAATAAAACTTGATTTTTCCATGATGGTCAGCATTGAATGTTCCAAATAGGGAAAGAACTAGAATCTGAGAATCATAGAATCATTAAGGTTGGAAAAAGACCTCTAAGATCATGGAATCTAATCCTAACCCATCTCCATCATACCCACTAGCCATGTCCCTCATAAATATTAGAGCTATGGTAACCTCAATAAGTGAGTTTACTCAGTATGAATGACCATTTGGTTTTCTGGCCCTGCAAACAAACAAAAACTGGGGTAGTTTATTTATTTGTCAATGTATAATTGTGTAAGTATGTGGTCTTGAATGCCTTTTTTCAGCTGATGACCCAGAAGAGAATGGAGAATAGCCTTCCAAATAGAATACTACGTGTTTGCTTGAGGTGTTTTGTTTGTTTGTTTTGAAGCGAGGAATGATCGTTATTGCAAAGGAGTTGGTTTTGTTCACTGAAACTACCCAACTTCAAGATTTATGTCTTGAATTTCTGCCAGATTTGCAGGCTAGCCCAAAGCCAGATAGGTGCGTTCAGCTCTTTGTACTTTTAGAGTGCAGATTGGGCTGGGAAGAGCAGATGAGCCGAACAAAATTCTCAGCGCCGAAGACCTAAAATGCACAATGTGCATTTCAGGGTTTGTTTTTCATTACCTATTGCTTGGTCCCATGTACCATTAGCTGGACTAGTGGTGCATTTCTGGTCTCTCTCCATCCAAAAGAATTAGGTTCATCCATCTCGAGACCATTCTGTGACGTGAACCTACATGTGGTAAGTGGCAATGATCAGAAGACGTTAGAAAAGCACACTTGTGCTACAGACTGAATGCTGATGTAGCTTACACACTTATGGTAGTGCCGTGCTCGAGTGCAAAAATACCACAATAAGTGCACCATATCCACAGCTTATACCAGCCTGCTGATGTGATCTGTGATCATCCCTGAGCCCAAGTATCCTGTAAGGGCTACATCTGTTTTAAGTTGTGAAGCTTGTTGCTGTTCATGCAGCTGTTTTAACAGCTGAGAAATGGCAATCCAGCAATGAATATGCATTGAGCCATGCGTCCTTAGCTGTCAATGAAGCTGAATGCATGTGGGCAGAGTCAGCTAGTGGCAATTCAGTTCTGCTGCTGGTAAATTGTAACACTGCGTATGCGTAATAAGAAAAACATAAAATGAGGGCCAGGGCTTGGTGAAAATGCTGTGAATGAGCTGTTCTATCAGTTTTGCCTGAAGCTGAAGTTTTTTAATACAGTTGAACCTGAGGTTACTCAATTTTCAAGACAGTTGCTAGGTTGGATTTGGTTTTCAAATGATTTATCTGGGCAGTAATCCAAATAGCAAAATTACTAGTGGATGAAACTTTGTATTCACTTTTTTTTTTTCTGAATCACGGGACTGCATTTGTTTTGTCAAGCTGCTAATGCAGGGATTTCAGGCCCCAAGAATATATCGAGCCCCATCACCGCAGTTGACTTATATTAAGGTAGCACCCCCCAAAAATGAACATCTCTGCATCTTCACATAGGAGAGCACAGGGAATAAACAACGTGCTCAGAGAGCAAAATGCAAGTCTATTACTTTGCTGCAAAAGCAGATATTTGGTAGGAGAAGAGCTGCCCACACAGCAATAAAGGGCCTCTCTGTGAATGATTATGAACTGAATTCTGAGCTCTTGGCAGAGGTGTTATGTGATGTGAGCAGTGATAAGGTCCTGGTGTTATGTGCTCTTATAGTGGTAACCTTGAGAAACTAATATGGGCTCGAACAGGCAGAAGAATAGGAATGTTGAGGTTTCATGAAAATGCTAAAAATGTGGCCTTTACAGAAGCCCCATAGAACTGTTTTCTTTTTTTATGGAACACACAGGAGTTACAGATGAATAAAGAGGTAACTGTTTAGTTTTGTTTGATGGAACTCTGCTAGAAGTAATGCAATGCATTCTTTTCAGGATTTGAGCTGTAAGGCTATAATTTTGGAAAGTTTCTCTGCTGGAAAAGATTGTGACACTAATAGGAATCCTCTCTGCAATCTAAATCAGCTAGTCAAAAGATTGAGAAAGCAAAATAAAGCAATAACTGTACCAAAACTGGAGTTAAACAGAAAAAAAATAAAGAGAAACAATGCTAATGGTTTGCTTTGGGGCCTGCAGGTATCTTGAAGGAATTCAAAAAGCATTGTACCTAGACATGAAGAGATTGAATTTTAAAAAAATATAATTTAGTGTAAATAGATAAGATCCAGGCAAGTGGAATTAACTAATTGCCCAGTCTGTCAGTCTGGAGAACATCCTCTGTGTGGAAATGTTGGGACTGAAAGCTGCAGACAGGAGGGAATGAGGTCTGATGTGGAGAGGAGAAGCTGAGCCGTACTGCAGCTTTTTCTTCACCTTAGCAGCTATGTTTTGATGAAGAACTGAAGAAGATACTTAATTAAATAAATGAAACTCTGTGAGAGTCATTTTTCTTGGCTTTTCATCAAAGTGTTATTTTCAGTTAATCTAGCAAATGAGTTGGTGTGACAAGCATGAATTTGACCAAACACCTACAATTTATTTTTGAATCAAGCAATGAAAGAATTCATATGTGGTACAAAATTCCCTCTTGGCATCACTCTACAGGACCTAATACAGTTGTGCCATGGATCTGATCAGTGTTTATAAATATCTACAGGGAGGTGGGAGGCAAATGGGTGAGGCCAGACTCTTCTTGGTGGTGTGTAGCAACAGAACAAGGAGCAATGGCCTGAGACTTGTACATAGGAAGTTCTGTACAAACATGTGGAAGAACTTCTTTACAGTAAGGGTGATGCAGCACTGGCACAGGCTGCCCAGAGAGGTGGTGGAGTCTCCTTCTGTGGAGTCATTCAAGACCTGTCTGGATGCCAACCTGTGTGACCTATTGTAGGGAACTGCTTTAGCAGGGGGCTGGACTCCGTGATCTCTTGAGGCCCCTTCCAACTCCTGCAGTGTTGGGATTTTGTGATTTACTCACATGCAGCTGAGAAAGGAATTCCTCAACCAATAACTTCAGATCCTA